GTGTGTGTGTGTGTGTGTGTGTGTGTGTGTGTGTGTGTGTGTGTGAGAGAGAGAGAGAGAGAGTGTTGAGGGGCGCAGATTCAATGACCCATCCAAGTGGCCATTATGCCACTACAAATCTAGGGTGACAGTATTAAAGCCAAAATAAACATCATTGAACATCTACGGTAGCTACAGTTTTTGAATATTGAATTTTCAAAACCGAAAAATATTCAGGAGTGAAATCTATTTTAATGTCTAACAGTTCATTTTCTTATTGCAGCCAATGCCAGTCCTGCACAAATTGAGATTGGACTCAGGGCACGCATTTTATTTTGAAGGAGTAGGCTCACCAGGGAAAAAGGATTGCAACTGCACAGCAGCTGCTCCACTATAATGAACATTTCAGGTTTGATTTTGTTGCAGATCTTTTTCTTGCTCTCAGTTTATTATTTTAAAGAGGGAGGCTATAAAGGGGAACAAGAGGCCCAAAACAAAATAACCACTTCCAAAGCTGTGAAAAATGCAGAGGGTAATTCCTGCCCGCCCACATCTACGCTACAAAAGGGCTAAAAATGGGAATGTACAAATTGTGCTTCATGAATATTCAATGCTAGCAGTACTCCAAGCACAATTTGAACTGAATCAAACCATATAATTTAATAATCGAGAACCATGCATACTTTTCAGGGAAGTCAAAGATAATAAAGTTAAATTATTGTTTCTTTTTAAGAAAAAAAGTTTGCTCGGAACTATAGAGGCAGAGGCCAGTACGGCTATCTAACACTTTCTACCAGTTTGAGGCGTCACATTTTTCTTTGCTTTGCTCCAACTTTTAAAAGAATGCACTGATAAAACCAAATAAATTATCATTACCACAATGAAATGAGCAACAGGATTTCAGCTCATCTTGTGTGCATCATGTCTAGTTATCCTTAAACAAACACTAATGTATAGCATCAGCCCCATAAGACAGCTCCAATGTTTTTGCCACAATAAAACAAACTTTACAAATGCAGCACATTTGTTTGTGATTTAGGTTAAGGAATGACACAAGCTGGTGTAACATTCAAAAGGGACAAAATAGAATGGGATGTCTGCATTTACAAGATATTAGACTAGTTAATCAGGCAAATGCCTGGTTAAAATGCACATTAGATATGGATCTTTACCTTGCTGTTTATAAAAGAAAGATGAGTCCAAGTACTGTACAGTAAGTGGTAATGCAAATTACTGCAATTTAAACTAAGACATTTTGAAAAAACTGTGTTGCTGAAAATCAAAGACAATGGTGTCAATCAATAAGTAAACAAGTAGGTCATACAGCAGACACAACTGTTTACTGTGCAATAACCCATCAAAACGTTATTTAGGAAGGTTATGTATAGGGCAAAAAACACCTTTGAAATACTCTCGGGTGAAATTTCCAAAATACAGGAAAGGCAGTAAGAAAGTAAAAATATGGGGATTCCATTATGTGGGTGCCAATAATATAAACAGGCAGAATGGTGGTACTGAACATTATAAAATAGTTCCACGTTGTTATAAACTAAGTATTACTTTCTGAAGAAAAAAAAAAGCCCCCTAATTTATAAGGAGGGTCAAAACTGGGGGTGTATTTGATTTGATGTCAGTTACTGATTCTCCCACCCCCTTCCCCTAGTTGTTGAAGGCCTGGTGCTCACAGTCTAACCTAGGTGACTTCCAGCTCAGGGTATTGGAGAAGGGGGGGGGGGCAGGGGGCGGAAGAGGACTTACTTCTTGGCCATATCTATCAGGATCCCGGTGAAGCTGCTCCCTCCGAAGTTGGTGGACACCACCAAGGTGCCGCTGACGACGTGTTCCACGGTGACCGAGAGCTGGGCGCCCGCTCGGAGCCGCCCCGCTGCGGCTGCGGGCTCCGGGCTGAGCGCCGCCATGTTCGCTGGCGGGGTAACGCCGAGGTGCGGGCCCTGGAGGGAGCGAGTAGCGGGGGGAGGGGAGACGCTGCGGGAGCAGCGGCGGGAGCGAGCGCTGACACGTGCCCGCGCCTCGTCCTTCACCTGTCAATCAAAGGCTGGCTCAGTCACAGGGCCCGGAGCGGAGTGGCAGGCGCATGCGCCCCATCCCCAGAGCTCGAGGCAGCGGTGCAGCAGGGGCTTGGAGTGCAGCTAGAGAGCAGCTCCTGTCTGGGGGAAAAAAAGCACACACACATATATAAATTCATTATTTCGTATAAAACAATGTAAACAAAAACACCTTTCATCCCAGCCCCCCCCTCCCATAGTCTGATCCACTTCCTCAGGCTTTCATTGCATTTTACACAACAAAACTATAATCCTCATCGAAGTAGAAATGTTTAGGGAAAATTGAGAGACATAATTAGGATGTAGCTGTGTTCATTCTTTTCATAAAAATAATATACATTACAATTATAAATAGCTGCTCGCGTTCGGCTATTTATATAGATAGCTTTAAATTATGGAATATAACCAATTAGTGTTCCAAGATCTTTAATAAATACTGTAAGGTTATCTCCAGACGTCAGCTCAGATCTGGTTCCTGTGTTGGTCATAGGCCTCTTGACTACAGCAAGCTAGGTTAAATCACCGTGTAGTCAACTCACAACATCTTAAAGGACCCATGTAGTCATCTTAAAGATAATTGTGCCACAAGTATAGGACTAAAACATGTACTTTTCTACTCTGTCCTGTAAAGTTGCGTTTAGATTACTTCGCAACGTCTGTTTTAAAACAATAAGTAAATAAATCCACACTGGTGGCCTAGTAAGCACACAAGCCAAGTCCGTACAATTAACAAGAAACTTTAAACTGGTCATTCTGAAACCGAGACATATGTACCCTTCAACAAATCAGGAAGAGAGTAAATAGATTTGAAAGAAACACCTCAGACCACATTTAAAAGCTTTTAAAAAATCGCCATCCTACAAAAAGAGCAATAAATAATACCTGAGAATGCACCGACTGAACACTACACGTAGACGGTTTCCTGAAGGTACACCATTTGAAGTCTTTAAAGCTGCCAGCACCAAACGCCCCACAGTGGCCTAATGAGCAAGATGACTAATAAGGCGATAGAAACGGTGTCTTGCAGAAGCACCAGACAGCGTCCTCTTGTGGCTCCATTATATGTCACTTATTGTTGTTAGTTATGGTGCCACCAACATATTTTGCTCACTTGCGAGTGAATGAATTAATTTACCATCGCCCCCAGTGTTGCTGTTTGACAAATCATTGCCAACATAAATATTCTTAAACCTCTGAAAGCTCCAAAGAGACGAATCAGAGCCAAATGGGATCAATCATATTCGTGCAATAGTTTATCCTCATCTAGTTAAAAGCAACAGATTAGGATGTGACCCAAATAAATGGGTGAAAGTTATTTACAAATACGCCACAATAATTACATTTAAAAATTAAGTAGGCAGTTGTAGGGTTCTCAATCACGAACACTGCATTATCATGACCATTGCCAGTTTTTATGTTCGCAATGGACTACCAGTTCACAAGTTTGCTAAGCATTTTGTTCATCCAGTGTCACATTTTGAGAGATAACTGGGTTGATGACGTGATGGATACATCGCTTAGTTAGTCCCTTGGGATCCAGGATGATTGATTCCGCTGCAGTTTAATGGATGCTGAAATGGTTGGTTTGTCCAAAGCTCAATCTGCAGACTCTGACACACAAGGGTAGCTGCTGCTTGTAGTGTCAAAGGATAAGCAATTGAAAGATTTGCAGACTTTCTTCAATACCCTGATTTTTTGACTCTATGTGTTCTTGACAAGCCTTCTTCATGTGTTCAGTGGCTTCAATGGGCTCCCCCGCTTCACGCAAGCTCTTCTATTTGCTATGAGCTTATATTAGTCTTTCAGAAGAACAACGGCAGACCATGCAACTGTTTAAAACAAAAGCAGTACTCAATGCTTATGAGTTAGTCCCTGAAGCTTATTGGTGTGTTCCTGAAGCTTATCAATTAAAATTTAGGACTGCAAGAAATAAGACTCACCAGACATTTGTAGAATTTGCAAGAGCAAAAATAAATGCTGCTTTGATCATTGAAGATAGAGAAAAAAATTGAGAAGGTAAGGGAAATCATGATAAGGAAAGTAATAAGAAATAGTATTCTGCCAAACTGTAAGACTTATTTAGATAAGTCTCAAGTATCAAAAATCCAAGAAGCAGCAATTTTGGCAGATATCAATGATATATCATGTAGACAATTGCATGTGGAGAGATGGCCATAAGGGAATCCACCAGGAAATTGGAGGAATAAAAATGCTGCACATGCCGGAGGCACTAGTTTTATGGAACAAAAAGAAGGGTGCCAAAATAATAAAGGAGAAAGGTTATAACCTAAAGGTGCTTTCAAGAAAATAATATCATTTTATTGTAATAAGAATAAACATACCAAAGCTAATTGGTAAAAATTAAACGAAAGGCAGATTGTAGTGATAGAAATGCCTAAGAAAAGCTCAGAAGAGAGTGCATCAGAAAGGGAGATACATATTAAAACTGTGGCTGTAGTACAAAGCGGACAAGTTTTCTTAGAATCTACCAAGAAGGTATAGATGACATGGGACAGTAAAGAATGTTTTTTGTCAAGTACTGAAAAGAGAACCATACCACTGGTGTTCTGAATTTGTCTCATAGGGACAGCTGTCATCTTATTCGTCAAATCAAGGAGAAAAAAAAAGATATTTAGAGACATTGTAGCAAGTAGGTTATTAATGCTGGCTGATGATGCAAGTTGTCTACCAGAGGGGTAAATGAAGGAGAAAATATGATTTGGAGATGTGCATGAAAGTTACAATCCAGTACTACTATATAGAGTGGGATTAAGGAGTAACCTAGTAAAGTGAAAAATTATAGCTAAAGTTGTGCAACAAATCCCTGCAGAATGAATTCATTTTATCGTAGGGAATGACCTGGCTGATTCAAAGATATTGGCCTCACTGAGGGCGATGGGGCAATGAGCAAAGATAAAATAAACTAAAATGTTATGGGAGGAACATTGTGGATTGTTTCCTATTTGGAAATTGAATCAAAACAAATGCCTGGGGGTTATTATTTGAAAAATAAACTATACTGGAGAAATGGAGGCTCCTGGAATATCAGACAATGAAGAATATGCAGTAGTTCCATCTAAATAGGCTACTTTATTTATGACTGTCTCGTGAAATTCCAAGATATGAGAAAAACACAGAGTAAAATACTAATACTTTTTTACTGACCAGGATCACATAAAGCGTGATTGAATTTTTCCAGACACACCATACATATCTTGTTGGGAGAAATCCTAACCATCAGTTAAACCTGCACTTTTAATTCTAATATCAGCTTTTGAAGAATTGTTTACTAGGGTCTTAATAGATTGTGTAGGACCCCTACCTAAAACTAAGGGTGAGAATCAATATCTTTTAACAATTATGAATGTGTTGACAAGTCTTCCGGAAGCAGTACCTTTCAGAAAAATTACTGCTAAAAAAAAGGTAGCAGACAAGTTATTTCAATTTTTAACAAGACATGGATTACCCAAAGAAATGCAATCATATCAAAGTTCAAATTTTATGTCACAAATATCCAAGAAAATAATAAATAGTTTGGAAATTAAAACAAATTATATCATAATCTTACCACACAAAATTTCAAGGAGTATTAGAAAAGATGGCATCAAATTTAGAAGATCTTGATTGGAACTCTTGTCAGAAATAATCTCATGACTGGGGGTAAAAGTATTCCCTTGGGATTATTTGCTATTTGGGATGCCCCAATAAGTCTACATGAACTGATATATGGACATGAGGTTTGAGAACACCTTTAAATGATTAAAGAAAGAAAAAAACTCTGTGGGGAGCTTTGATTCCAGCTTCAGGTGACCGTCTGTGTGGAGTTTTCACATTCTCCCCATCTCTTTGTGGGTTTCTGCTGGGTGCTCCAGTTTTCTCCCACATCTCAAAGTCCAAAGATGTGCAGGTTAGGTGGATTGGGAATGCTAAAATTGACTCGTAGTGTCCAGAGATGTGCAGGTTAGGTGAATTAATGCTGGTACGTGCGGGCGCCAAGGGGATAGGCTAGGATGCTGTTTGGAGGGTCGATGCAGACTTAATGGGCTGAATGGTCTCTTTCTGTATTCTAGGGATTCTATGACTATGTTTGCAGCCTAAGTGTTTAATTTCAGAGAGAAACTTATTGAAGCATATGAGTTAGCCAAAAGTATTTGCAAAATGTTCAACAATCAATGAAAACTGGAGCAGAAAAATATCAAGGATTTGAAATTTGGCGGTGACTGGAGACAATGTGTTAGTATTATTACCTGTCTCTAGGGATCAATTAAAATCAAGGTTCATTGGATCTTATTGTATCATAAAATTACGTGAATTGTGTAATGAATACTTTCAAATGGGAGGAAAGAGCACCTAGAATGTCATGTTAATAAGTTAAAGAGATATTACCAAAGACAGGATAGTAAAGATAAAAGCCTCCTTCTAGCCCTGAGTGACCTTCACATCACTGGACCCATAACACCCCAGTCCCAACACCTACCCTCCACTACCCAGTTACCCTGACCTAGCTGGTACTCTACCCAGTTGGCACCTCTAAACTGGCACTGCAACACCATACCTGCTTGGCACCCAATTTACCTGGCATCCATTTGGCACCCAATCCTCCAAACACCTTAACCACCTACCTCATGTCAGCAGATGTTAAAAATCGTCCGTCAGACCTTTAAGTTTCAAAGCACGGCAGCTGACTGCCATCAAAATTCGGCACTATGAGAGATCTTAAGACCATAAAGATGTAGGAGCAGAATTAGGCCTTCCGGCCCATTGAGCCCACACTGCCATTCAATCATGACTAATACATTTCACAACCCTATTCTTCTGCCTTCTCCCCATAACCCTTGATCTCCTTACTAATCAGGAACCTGTCTGTCTGTCTTAAATACATTCAATGACTCAGTCTCCAGAGCTTTCTGTAGCAATGAGTTCATGCAGTCACCACTCTCTGGCTGAAGAAATTCCTCCTCATCTCAGTTTTAAAGTGTCATCCCTTCAATTTGAGACTGTGCCGTACGGTCCTAGTCTCTCCTACTGGTAGAGACATCCACTCTATCCAGGTCTCTCGTTTTCAGTAAGTTTCAATAAGAATCCTCTCTCACCCTTCTAAACTGCATCGACTACAGACACAGAGTCCTCAGCTGCTCCTCATATGACAAGCCTTTCATTTCCAGGATAATTTTTGTAAACCTCTTTTGACCCCGTACAATGCCAGCACATCCTCCTTAGATATGATGCCTAAAACTGATCACAATACTCCAAATGTGGTCTGACCAGAGCCTTATACAGCTTCACCAGTACATCCCTGCTCTTGTATTCTGGCTTTTTTGAAATCAGTGCTAACATTGCATTTGGCTTCCTATCTGCCAATGGAACCTGCACGTTAACCTTAAGAGAGTCTTGACCTAGAACTCCCAAGTCCGGATGTGCTTAATATTTTTGAAGCCTTTCACCATTTCCTACCAAAATGCATAACCGCACAATTTCCCACAACATTCCATTTTTGCCCACTCTTCTAGCCTGTTCAAGTCCTTCTGTAGCTTCTTTGCTTCCTCAACAATATCTGTTCCTCCACCTATCTTTGTATCATCTGCAAACTTAGCAACAATGCCCTCATTTCCTTCATCCAAATCGTTAATGTATAATGTGAATAGTTGTGGTCCCAACATTGACTCCTGTGAACTCCACTTGTCACTGGTTGCCATCCTGAAAAAGACCCCTTTATCCCCACCCTCTGCCTGTTGCCAGTCAGCCAATCCTCTATTCATGCCAGTATTTTGCCCCTAACACCATGGGCTCTTATTTACCAGCGTCCTGTACAGCACCTTATCAAAAGCCTTCTGGAAATACAAACAAATCAAGTCCGCTGACTCTCCTTTATCTATATTGTTTATTACCTCCTCAAAAAATTCCAGTAGGTTTGTCAGGCATGACCTGATCGGGGCACATGGTGGCTCAGTGGTTACCACTGCTACCTCACAACAGCAGG